GAAGCATTGAATGCAAAATGCCCATACGAGACAACTTCGCCCGATCATCCTTCTCCAGTTGAATTGGGCCAGAAAGGTGCGAAAACAAGTCGCGTTGTCAGCGATGCGTTTGGTCCCGGGTTTAGAATAAATGAGCTGTTGAGGGATAATTCGAAGAACTTTCGTAGTGAGAATTCGTTTTGAGAAGGATTCTTATGTGAGAACCTCCTTCACAATAGTGCGTAAAAAACCGATATCTACCAGTTAGAGGGCAGGGTAGCGCAGTAAGTATAAAGCGTAGGTAGGCACCTGAGAATCCCACATATGTAGCTCTTTAGGTAACCAGTTTTCTGAATCATTCTGAGGTTATAGATTTTCTTACTTGGGACTGCTCAACGAAATTTATTTTTTAGGGCCGGGCACGCATTCAAAGGCTTGAGATTTTTCCCAGATAAAGTCAAATGCATGGCGCATCCCGAATTCTTGAAGAACTTCATTATCGAGATTATTTGATCATTTCATGCAATTTTAAAATTACACAACCCTTACCGATTATGCAGACGTCTCCTTCACAAGTTTCCGTGCAATTGGTGCGACCTTTTGGTGAAATATGAAATGGGCATCTGGTGCAAGTGAGTTTAGAGTGAGCGATTGTGCTAATCGCAAAGAGTAGCAAAAAAACTCTCATTCAGCACTCCTGAAAAGTGAAATGATTAACTCCATTCTTCGAAAAATACGGCAGCATGGAAAAATACAACTGAACATTTCTTTCATAGAGAGATATAGAGCATTACAGCTTTACTAAAATAGTACAACTGAATGGCTTAGGAGAAACATGACTTAAAGAAGCACACTAAAGACATCAATATGAGTTTTTTGATTAAGATGAGTAATTTTTGATTCTAGCTCATAAATTTGTGATAGGTGTGGTCGGCAGGTATGATCCCGCCCACGGCAACCAAGCCTTCTGTCCAGGGGGTTCCTCCCAGTTACAACCGGGACTTGGAAGAGGAACGGAAACGTGCACGTTCATTTCGCTCAAGAAATTATTTTGGTCAAACATGTACTCAAAGCCTATTACAATCAATGGAAGTAGAATTTATGGCGTATCGCAGAAAGGAATTGGCCTTGTTCCAACTTTTTCTTGTTTTAAAATTTGAGGGAGAATGTTGGCAATGGAAAGTAAGCGGAGAGGTGGGCTTAGTACAGCATGAATCAAAGCTCTAAGCTTACGGCTTTAGGGGGGAATTTCAAAGTAGGGCCGATGATAGGAGACATAAGGACCTAGTCCAAGGAGGAGGGAAGATGAAGAAATTACTAATTGCTCATATCCTCCACAAATCCCTTCCCCTCTATAAAGCTCAGCCAAAAGTACTGTATGTAGCTCACTCTCTTGAAAGCCCCTCCTAACGATATGAGCCCCAAATTTCGATTCGTGTTACCAGGTCTCGAATCCATTTTATGTTGGCTGAATGGTACCAGGCTATTTTAGGAGCATAAGGACACCGCCCTAATGATTTGTATATTTTTGGCCCTCCATTTATTTGTACAGAGCAAAACAACCATTTCAAATCGCTATAATAGCGTCAGTAAAGTTAATAGGTGCGTAAATATGAATCGAAATAAAGTGAAATGCATGGCGCATACCGAAAGAACAAACAACATTTCTATTTTTCTATCAGAATAGTGATTGAGAGTTCAGGGCAAATTTTTGTCGACATTAGTCTTTTAATGGTCACTACAAGTTAAACATTGTATGATAATGTGAATGCTGTGATATATCGTACATTATACGAAGTTATATGAATTCTTATTTTTAATTATTTAATGTGTTGGCACTGCATAACACATGCATAAATTTATAGTTGCTTACTAATTTTTAGTTAATGTATTTAGTGATAGTGGAACGGCATCAATGGTATGGAATGGCTACCAATACATATGAACGATAACCGATTGCTCTCGATTAGCGCTCGATTCACGCTGGGATGCGCCACGCGTCCGGTTCCTATTCGGAGTCAAGGTAGCAGTTGATGGCAGTTGGCCTACATATTGAATGCGAGGTAGGCTAATGTACAATATGATGTTTTTTTCATTCCAAAAGTAGTTCTGTAACTGGTAACAATACGGAGAAATGAAAAAGAATTTCTGGCGGTGGACGTGAGTTAGGCCGGATTGTGAACAACTGCAACTGGCACTACAACTGCAATAAGCGCTTGGTACAGCCCCCTTTGCCATTCATCGCCCCTGCTCGATGATAATTCTCACCGGAAAATGTTTGACTTAGGAACTTTTCTTAGGTCTGGTAATTATTACACATATCTAACTGGTTTTGGAACTGTTCTTAAGTCTGGTAACTATTAAATTATGGCTGGGTATGACTTTCCGTTATTTGAGCCGCCCAAGAACAAGGGCAGCAAACAGTAAACCGGAATAATATAATAATGTCAATAACACAAGGGATTCATCAAATAAATCGGAACACCTCAACAGTCAGGATTTCGTGGGACACCACATAAACCGCAGTCTAAACTAACAACAAGTCTTGGGAAATAGGCTAGGAAGGTAACGAGAGGTTCCACGTTACCCAATGCATGATTGATTATGTCGAATCCCGTCCACTCGAACCGAACCGTCCATCGTTCTGGCTCTATTAACTGGTTCTAGGCTTGTCCGGTAGGATAAAAACACTGACATTAGCCGGCCTTTCCGAATGCTGTTGCAGGCATAATATGCACTTCAATATTTTTTCGAGACTGCGTAGGCTGAAAGGCAAGCCCTGGGACGAAACAGGTGTGCAAAAGCCCCCAACAATGATGATGGAGGTGTGGAGTGGGCTGAGACGAGAAGAAACCAAAAAAAGAAACTATCGAGAACGCTCAAGTTACGGGCTTAAAGCTGCCATGAGGTTAG